TTTAGAGGATGTCGTTTCAAACATCAAACATACTGGTCAGACAGCGATCATTCGGTCGTTTGGGGCAAAACCGCTCACATCGTTTGACATCTTCAATCAGTATATTGAGAAAATAGAAAAGGTACCCCTTCTGCAACTTCATCACTCTGATACTTACATGTGTGTTGTAATTATCTTATTCGACAATACTTGAAAATAAATGGAACCACTCGAAAACGTGGAATATTCTCTTTTTGTCCGATATCAATTTAATGGTGTAACGGTATCATAGTATACTATACGTATAACATGTATCGAAATTTGTTTTGGTAGTGACTTCCGTTGAAGCTATCGAGTTTTTAAATTTTAATAAATAAAATTGTTCCAGCGTACCGGGTACATTCGTATTGGCAAATTCAGCGTATTTTTTTTTTTTTTTTTTTTTTTTCGTCGGGCTCATCCGATAATGGATATTGTAACGGTCATTCTTCTTCGGTTCCAGCTTCACGTATTAGTAATTCAAATTTTAAACCACAGCTAGAAACGAGTGGTACATGATAATGCAATAATCAAAACAAATAGAGCGTTTGAAACGTAAACGAAGTTTATGATTCCATTTGTTGTACTTTTACTGCTCCGTTGTATTTTTTGCACAAACTTTCTCGAGGTCCCGTTCGTTGTGAAAACTTTAACGTATATAAAGAAGAAAAATTTAAAAAAAAAGTGCCATTACAACAAACCGATGATCCTTTGTCTGTGCAAAGAACACACATAGGCGCACCCGAACCGATTTCCATGCCTAAAATCGAAACAGCGTGCAGTTTGACGGACGGCTGGCAAAATCATAAAAACACTTTACGAGGTGTCATAGTTTCTCTGGAAGCACTTTTATGGTCATTTGGGCGATAAAACCCGCTTGATCGCGAATCGCGAATCGTAAATCTCGTCTTGGCTCGGGGATTCGAGATTCCCGTTTCGTTCCTCCCTAAGCAACGTGGCTTTTTTTAAATATTTTTAAACGAATAGTATCTTTACTCGACTCACAATTTACGACTCGCTGTTTTTTGACGTCCACGCGTAGTTGAAACGTGCATTTCATTGTGTACATCCCTCAAGACGCAACAAAGTATAAAAAAAAGGTCCAAGACTTGCCGATCAAGAGCCAAGAATTTTCTATAAAAACTGTAAATTTCAAATTTACCTATTATATCAATATCCAGGAGGTGTTTACGAGTATAGTATAACCTGTAGAGGCGGAAACGATTATTCAACTCCCGATGACGTATGACAAAAAGTCGTCGGGCGACACGAGTGTATATATTGAAAAAGACTTTGTTGGTGTGAATATGAATAAATTATTTGTACGACGCTTGGGACACGACTTTCATAACACCACACCTTATATACTTTGCGCAAGAGCGGAAATGAAAATTCGCCGACAGTGTCGAGATTAGGTGTCAACTCACGTGAATGAGGAAGTGATTTTGCAAAAGTTTCGCAAATTTTCACCAGAAAGATTTTTTCTTTTTTTTTGCATTGACGCGGACGAGTGAAAAATCTACTACTTTTGACGGTGAATGATTAACAACACTATCCATCAAAATATCGTTTACTATTGCACCCGAAATGAAATTAATCTCACCTAATCAAAATCCTTGGTTTTAACAATCAATTTAACGTAACTAATGGAAATTCGTGTGGTCCAAAGAATCATCCCAATTACCGATTTGTTCAACATTTCAACGGAGACGCACAGTAAATGCCGCAGATGTAATTAATACGCAGCTGCATTTGACTCTTCGTACGCTGCACACTCCGACATACCGATCGCTTCCTCCGCACGGGCACATCCTCTAATATTTCTATCCATCTCTCCCTACCTCTTTCACTCCTGCGATCGTTACGGCCCGTTACGCTCGGATACGCAAAACCGCTAAGACGGAACGGGTTGGTGCAACAAGTATACACGTATATGAGGGATTTAGGTATATACGGCATGTTACATGTTAGTGTATATGTAATGAAATTGGTGGAGTTGGTAATTTATACAAGTGTCAACGAATGAGTGTGTATGTACACGCGTGGAAGATCGCAGGAGTGAAAAGAGCTATACCGATCGAATTCTAGAATCCATTCAATAGAGTTTATTTAGTATTTTAACCAGCTCATGTATGTGCTTATCTCGAAAAAAAAAAAGTTTTGTAAATGAGATTCCTTATCAAGAAAAAAAAATTTTTAGATCATAATATTATGACACATGGAAATAAGGTGTTTTTAAGATAAAACGCTTTGATCTGTACACTTTTGCGATAGCTGTTTCAGGCAGTTTTGCTATACATTAATAGTAGCAGGTGTTCATTAGAGATAGCACTTTCCATTTTCTCGATCACTCGTTTTGTTGGGATTCAATCAATTTTAAACTTTTCGAACTTACATAACGACGACGAGTATCACACATGTTACACCGAACTCATAAACCGTAACGGCGAGTTTGTACTTTCGCCGTTTTTTCTCAATGAAAACATTTTGCACGCGCATCACGGCTGTGGTTCGTATATCGATCGATCGAGTAAATACTCATCGTAGACGCAAGAAAATCGCATGGAAGCAAGGCGTAGCGCACAATTGAAAAATCACTGTTTTGTCAAATGACTGTAATTTTTAACGTCGAGTCGACCGAAGCAAATTCATACGCGTGACATATCTGTATATTCGGTTAAAAAGAAAAAAAAAAATATTACAATAATAGAATTTATACCATGAAATAATATGTGCCGATTTTTCTCCGCAAATAAGTCGATTGCTTCATCGTAAATCCAACTACATCAATCGTACAATTTTTCAACAACAAAAACTTAATCCATCGCGTAGCAGGTATCGGTTATCTATCAGTTATTAGTAGAGCTGGTAACAATAACCGAAGATATAGTTGACGATGCTTCGGTTTGGTTTAGATTTAGAAATTAGACCAACATAATATATACTTAGTGAAAATCGTACGGCACAGCTTCCATACCGATCTTGAGATAAAATATCCTCAAGAGTAAACTCAATCCCCGTGCCACATGTGCGCAAGTACATATGTAACTATAGCCATTGAAAGTCACACGCTTGGACACTTTCTAACACACGTAGGGAGTACTCAAGTACCCCCATACCATGGAATTAAATTTCTCCAAAGAGTAAAAATTACCATACCCGCTCGATCGGCGCCGATTTCCGCGTGAAACTCAAACGCGTACTATGGATTTTGCATTGCCGTGCTTACGTAAGCTATGCAAGTATCGTTCATTTTTTTTTTTTTTTTTTTCATCTCTTAATTTTACGACAAGCCTGTTATTATTATCCACGGGAAAATGAGGGGTACTCAAAGGTGCAAAAGATCCAGAAGCGATACCTATGAGTAAAAAAAAAAAAATTAGATTACGACGAGCCACGGGCTACATAATTTATAAACTGTTATGTTATCGTTTGAAATCTTGAGCGCGTGAAAATGATCGACAAATGGGACACCGGGACGGCAATTTCAGCGCCACAATTCTTCCCCACCCACTTTGTAATGAAGTACAAGAAACCCCAACGATTAGAAGAATAAACAATAAGAGGAAAAGTAGCTATGTATAGTTAGAAAAAAGAAATACATATATACAAGCACGTATATACGTCACAGGCGTCGGTGATATACGTTACCTCATTCGCATCACCTTGGCGCTCATAATATATGTATTACGCGATGCGTGTGTATAAAATAATTGTGCACACGTACAATGGGGTATAGATACACCCGCTGGACGCGGCGATTCTTTCTCATTATATACATGTGTATTATACATCCGATTAGTCGAAGAGCAGGGGCGCGGGAAACGAAAAGGGGGGTAGCAGCGAAGAAGCCGTACAATGTGCGAGTACGTGTATACGCGCGAGAGGCGCGCACTCGCTTTCGATACTTACTTTGTTGGGTCGCTCTTGTTTTTCTTTTTTTTTTTCTTTTTTTTTACCGTGTTGTTTGCTCCCTTTTGCTTTTCCATCGGAGAAGAAAGAAAGAAAGAAAGAAAGAGTGTCTATTTTTCGTCATTTTCTTGTATTGCAAGACGCACTTGGTAGTTGGATGGAGTAGTGCCATTGTGGCGACAGAGCACGTTACAAGTGCGGGGACACCGTGATCGGTAATCATGTCCTGCTCGGAGGAAGAGGAGGATCATGGGGACGAAGAGAGCGCGGCTACGGTGCGCGCAAAGATCGCCCTGCTCGAAGGTCCATCTCTTTTGTTTTTCGACTCTTTTTTTCTTTTTCTTTTTTTTTTTTTTTTTTTTCACTTGTTTCGTGCGTTTTCCGGTGATTGAAAAGACTCGCGTGATGGATGATTGTTTACCCGGAGGGTTTGGATCGGTATAGGTACAGTGCGTGAGTTACTTGCTTGTACGCAACCTTTGAGATTTGCAGCTTGAGATTGCAATATGGTTTTGTTGAAACGTGCAGTTGTTTATATGGTTGTGGATTGTTGTTGTGATTCGTCAAACTGGTTGAGGTTTTCCTTTTTCGAACCGATTCGACATAATAATGGGTATGTTTACCGAACGCCGTTGCACTGGAAAGTCGAGGAGACAAAGAATGTTCCAGTGGCTCTTACGGACTATCGTAGTGACTATATTGTGATTGTTACTGTATAATAATTGATTTGTGGATCTTAGTTTAGATCGACAGAGGACTTTTGAAAACGATCGTGCTTTTTTGGCAAATTTTCAAATTCAAAGTTTACGAGAGAGAACCGTTGGAGCGTACGAACAGATAGTTCTTAAAATAACAAATCGTTGCAGAGAGTGTTAAGGATAAAAAAAAAATTACATCAGCACTCATGTATTTCTCATGAAATCTCATTAATTTAGACAATACATTGTCAACAAATTGTGCCCCTTAATTTGCTCACAGTAAATACATACAAAAATATCAAAAGCATAATCATCAGGTCGATAAATCAAAGTAAACATTCTAAAATCAAATCTAAACTTTTTTGTCACCAGGAAAGGATATAATGGCACCAGTTCTGGGTATCCCACCGCCGCCACCACCTGCGCCGCACATGGGTCCAGATGGCCTGATTCTGCCCCGAAAGCCGTACAATCCGTGCGTGATCTCGACCAGCCACAAAGAACTGCACAGGGAACTCTTGTTCAACCAAAAAATGTTAGTATATATACATACACATATTGCCTATATGGGTCGCACAAACATTTTTTAAATTATATTATAAGGTGTGTGTGGGTCACCTATGCGAGTTCACCTCAATCGTACAAATTCAATTTCCGTGAACTAAATACCTACTCGAGTTTTTACGCCACAAGCGTTTTTTTTTCTCTCGCGTATAGTTTAATCTCTTTTATTCGCTTCATATACACTTTTATGGTTTTCATAAACATATTCAATTTACATTTTCAATGATAAGATGAATAAAAAATAATTTAAAAATTCGTGAACTGAAACAAGATTACACATCACTGAGAAATAATGAAAAATAGACTAAACATTTCACAAGACAGTGACTTAATTTTGTTTTAAAATAAAAATAAAAAAAAAAAAACAAAGTCATCCAGGGGTGGTGAACGAGCCCTCATACTTGTATGGTGGAAAAGGGTGTAAAAATTAATTTGACGGAAAAAACAACAATGTTTTGCAGCGGCAAAAACGTTCTCAACCAAAAGAGCGAGCTGCAGCGAGCGCTGGAGAGACACAGGGAAATGGCCTCGCGCAAAGAGGCCGAGCGCGTACAGGAGGAGTCTTGCAAAAACGATCCACGAACGGCCCTACAACGGGCCATCGAACAGAGAGCGAAGCACATACAGCAATCGGTAAGCCAGCGATTTTTACTTTTCTCACCGATCCTTCCTCGTGCATGCACGTATAAAATATATACGTAGGTACATGAAATAGAAAAAAACATTACAAGCACTTTTTCAACAAAGTCCTGATGAAAAAGAAATATTACCGATCTCTTTGAAAGTTAATTTTTTTGTAGCATGTTATTTGCTCAATTTACTCTTTAAAAAAAATGGAATGATTTTTTTTTTTTTTTTTTTTTTCAAGTAAAAAACAAAAGATTTATTCAGTATAATTTTTAATTATTATGATTGATTATTCATCATGAAATTCACAAAAGCCATCACCGATGACGCCGATACGATCGACAAACATCCACTCACCAGTAGTAGTCAACCCCCTTTTGTTCCCACAACACATTTTACGCGTATACCTCTTCGCACACGCGTTACGCACAAGACCAATATGCCAACCGATCGATCGATCACCTGCGTCTACAGGTACGCTAAAAATATATTAACATGTTGATGTATATGCTTTCAGCAACAGCACCAGCAAACGGAGCCGCCTAATCCCTTGGTGACCGCGAGGGCGAAATTACGATCGCGCACAGAGTCCCAGTGAGGCGAAAACCTATAGTACCTACACAATATGTACTGGAACATCTGAACTTTATGCGTTTTATCACCTAAACACCCCAATGTGCACGCACGCGCGATGAATGAGTATTAGACCCTGCATACATTATTGGATTCATTGGGTTTACAGAGATAAAAGAAAGCATGGAAAAAAAGTAGTAAAATCCTAAAATGTTTCTTTTAGTTTTTTGTGTTTGACACGTGAGATAAAAAAAAAAAAAAAAAAAAAAAAAAAAAAAAAAAAAAAAAAAAAAAAAAAACAAAAACAAAATAAACAAATACGAGCAATATATACGTCACTCATCGGATGACATAATTGTGTAATGTAGCGTTCGTTTAGCGCGTCGATGAGAGCGAATAATTATATAATAATATAACTATATGTGTAAATAACTCGAAACGTTGAGGTGAGAAAAAATGAAGGAAGGAAGGAAAGAAAATCAAACGAGTAATCAAACGATATTTATGTACGTTGTGAAAACCCTTTGTCCTTTTGACTCGTCGTATAATAAATGTATACCCTCGAACTTGCACGTTAAATGTAGCAATCGATTGAGTAATATACTGACAAAGAGTCAAGTTGATGCGAGAGCGCGTGGTTTGGCGAAAAAAATGTTCAATTAACGAGTCGTTGATTGGAAGGGAGCGAACGAGGCAACAAAGGCTGCGAGACGATCATTTGTGGGACCAGCTCTCTCTGCACGTTGATTGAGACGATGAGGAGCAACAACTTGGCGGACAATGGACATGTGCGTGGAATAATCTCTATATATCTCAAGTCTTCTCCGACTTAAGGCCTTAACTGTACTATATTGAATTAGAGAGTGTATTTAACTAAATGATATTGAAGCAGAAATAAATGAATATTATATATGATTATAATAAATAGCTGTAACTACTCGTAGGCCGGGTTGACACCTTACCAGTTTAATCGTAGAGATACGTGTAACGTGACAAGATTCAAAGTTTACTCAAATTACTATAAGCCGAATCATAGCAAACAGTATACCGTTTTATTTTTTACGACAGTGTATGCTGAAACGATGATTTTACGTTTGACGACTGTAATTGTATTATTTAGATATTAAAGAAAACAAAACAAACAAACAAACAAGAAAGATTACTGTCGAAAAGTATTCAAATAAATATTCAAATTATTTTATTGGGCTTGTTGTCATTTCCTACAACCTCTGCCTCCAAGATCTTTAAAATACAATCATAAAATGTGGATATGTTGAATTTAAACCACCAGCCGTATTAATGTTGCAATCAACTTTTTTTTTTTATTCAAAACTCTTATCGACATTTAAATTACATTTTTGAGTGTCGTCAGGCAATCAAGTTGGTAATTTATAATACAAAAATTATACATTTTTCCTCTTAATAATCGTCGCCACGTGAAATGACTTCCTTGCACGTGGGCCGTAGTACTATTGTGTGCTCAAATTGGGCGGTATAGGATCCCTTAACATCGACCAGCGGCGGGTAAGCCTCGACCGCACCTTTATCACACAGATCCTTGAGAGCCATTTGGTACTTGGTACAGCCAAGACGATCCAACCAGCGTTTACAGAATGCTAGCGTACCTAAAAAAAAAAAAAAAAAAAAAACAATATTTTGCACCTGATTTCATAAGTGTCAAAAAATTAAAAACTCTGATAGCACTTACCAAAATTTTTGTTTATCGTGTTGAGAAGCGACTTGCTGCTCTGTAACCTTAGAGGTACAAAACCAGATTCAAAAGGCTTCATGTAATGAGAGCAATCGAAATCATCATGGACTACTCCACGTCCGGTAGATCCAAAGGTCTCGATCGCGTAAAATTCATTCTCCTCCATCCTGGTGCATTCACCACCCTTGACTATTGGCACGGTTTTACCAGCATGGATTCTATAAGGCGCTATGGAATGACCATTCAAGTTCCTAATGGACTTTACCTGTTAAAAGTTATACTTACATAAAATTTGACTAACAAGTAAACATACCGCCTTAGATTGTAAATATTTCGTTTGAAAAAATACCTTGTAAGTCTTTCCATCCAATTCAACTTCATAAGACTCCATGACTTCCTGAATAGCAGCACCAACGTCGCAAAGCTGCACGTCGATACCAGCTGCCTTGATACCAGTATTTGTAGCATCCCTGACAGCCTCTATGAGCTTATCATACTTTGGATTAAAAGATAACGTAAATGCACAATCGATGATGCGACCATTGATGTGAGTACCAAAGTCAATTTTGGTAACATCATCATACTGGAGAACAGTGGGATCACCGGCATTTGGTGTGTAATGAGCAGCACAGTGATTTCTTGAACAGCCAGTGGGAAAAGCTAAACCAGCTTTGAGGCCGTTCTCGTTGATAAGTCTCCTGGCTGTCTCCTCGAGCTCATTGCAAATTTCGATCATTGTCATGCCAGGCTTTATCCACTGTTGCATGTGCTTCCTCGTGCGCCTGTGGGCTTCAGCTGCCAGACGAGCTTCATTGTAAATATCATTTTGCAAGCGGTCGAGATTACGAGCTTCCTCGCTGGTGAAACGTTCCTTTGCCTTTTGTTCATCTATGCCAGTAGCTGGAGGATAGTCCATAATCTCACCAACCGGGTAGTTACCATCTGGGTAGTAGGAGGTGACTGGAAACGCTATGGGATCCTTGTTCCCGCCTTTACCTCGGTTTTTACGCTTTTTTTTCTTTTTCTTTTCATCAGCTTCCCCACCATCTTCTCCACCGTCCTCTCCGTTTTCATCCTCATCTTTTCACATGGTACAAATAAACGAGAGCAATGTAAGTTACAAGAAATTAAAAATGTGCAAAAAATAAAATACAAAATTGATGGTATACACGGTGTGATTGGTCATTTCAAATGTATTATGTCTAATCTTGAGCAAATTAATTTTTCATTGACTCAGTGACAATATCTACAATGAAATAATTTAAAAAAATAAAGCAAAATAATATCAAAACAAATCAAAAATGTACTGACAATTATATTAAAATAAACTTAAAACTTAACGAACCTTTGCCAGGGACAATGTTCTCCTTGGCTTTTTCTTCTTCCCCCTCTGGAACATCAGCACTGGCTTCTCCGGCACCTACAACATTACCACCAAAATCACCACCCAATTAAAAACCAATATCGATAGCCAAAAGAATACAACGAGCACGTGTACAACCCTTGAAATCCTAACCACTTCACTAATGAATCAACCTTACATCAACGAAAGCTAGGGTAAAAAAACTCTTATTGAAACTGCTTATCAATCAAGTAAATAGTCCAAAAAAAAAGAATGATAAAAAACAAAAATATATCGGTGAAATAATCATGAAATATACAAGCAGAGCTCCAAAAGTGGTCAAAGTTGATAGAACCATGAAAAAAGAAAAGAAAAAAGCTTAATACTAACCAGCCTTCTTCTTCTTCTTTTTCTTCTTCTTCTTGGTGGATGCCTCGGCTCCAGCCTCCACACCCTCGTCGACAATATCGTCGTCTTTCTCCTCGTCCACGAGCTTCTCCGCAGACTTGCCCACTTCGTCGTGCACCGCCGCCATGTTCGGCTGTTCTATTTATATGTAATCAGAGATAACTCTTTCGCAAAGTATAAACAATACCGTAATTAACAATAAAAGATGCTAGAATATACCTTTCGCACTTATCGAAATCGAAGAATTCTCCTGACTCCTGACTATTCCGTGAGGAGGGAGTTAGTGTCAGCCGTTGGTTCGGCAGGGTTTTTTTTTCTACGATAATTTTGCAATAGCGCCATCTCACGCGGCTGATTCCAAACTAAATGGTACCCTTACCTTATTCCCTAAAACGGCTAAAACTAAAACTCTCGGAAAATTATATCCACCAGACAGCGCTAGTGGAAGGGCATAAGATTTTCAGGATTTTCTGATTTTATCATTTTGGATTCTGGTAAAGAGAGCAGGTAAAGGTGAAAGGTCAAAAGTATTGTAATTTTGTAAATATGGTCGATTTTATAAGCCATATAAGATAAGCAGAATATTTACACTTTAGGAGATCAATTTTCGGACAAAAGATAAATTGTAAGCTTGCCGCAAACAGCAGAAACATGATTGACTTTTCATTTTGTATCTATAACATTAGTTGCGGCTGGTTTATAATTGGTTTAATGGATCCACAGTATAGTGATAATTATTTGGATCAGCGCCATCTAGCGGTCGTAATTTTTTTGGCCAAAAATTGCTTCTGAAATTCTGAAGGAGAGCTTTAGGCAGTTTAGCCCTAGAGCCACTTAATTAGTTATAAACCAGCCGCAAGTAATTATACGAATATAAAATTAAAAATAATTATTGTTTGTGCTGTTTGCGGCAAGCTTACAATTTATCTTTCACTCGAAAGTATAAATATATAGGAAATCGATATTCGAATAAAAGATAAATTGTAAACTTGCCGCAAGTAGCACAAACATTGTTAAATTTTTAATTTGTATCTATCCTATAAGTTGCGGCTGGTTTATAACTAATTAAGTGTCTCTAGGGCTAAACTGCCTAAAGCTCTCCTTCAGAATTTCAGAAGCTATTTTTGGCCAAAAAAATTCCGACCGCTAGATGGCGCTGATCCAAATGATTATTACAACTTATAGTAGAGCCATTTAATTAATTATAAACCAGCCGCAACTAATGTTATAAATACAAAATGAAAAGTTAACATTATTTGTGCTATTTGCGGCAAGTTTGCAAGTTATCTTTAACCTGAATGTTGACCGCCTATATATTTATACTTTCGGGTAAAAGATAAGTTGTAAACTTGCCGCTATTAAAGCAAACAACGTTATCTTTTCATTTTATATCTACTCTATTAGCTGCGGCTAGTTTATAATTGATTAAATGGCTCTTGGTTGAAAGCTCTTTGTAGGGCTTTGTAAAAGACGCCCGCGTGTATTACAGTCGACAAAGTAGGTATCGTACTTACCTATTGTAGAATGCCGATAATCCAGGTTTTTTTATCGACGGTTGTTAATACGACCGTAAACGGAACCTGTACCACCTAAACGCAGGGGTTCTTTTTTAATTCAAAATCAGCCACGCCAGATGACGCTGATCATGGCCGATAGTGGGGGATCACCCCCAGTGGGTAAAGGCTGTATTCCGCAAATGCTGCCAGCAGTTAAGTTGCGTTGGTCATACTTATAGTAGAGCCACTTAATCAATTATAAACCAGTCGCAACTAATCTTATAAATGCAAAATGAAAAGTAAACATTGTTTGTGCTGTTTGCGGCAAGTTTTCAATGTATCTTTTACACGAATATTGACTTCCTATATATTTATACTTTCGGGTAAAAGATAAATTGTAAACTTACCGCCAACAGTGCAAACAATGTTTACTTTTCATTTTGTATTTATAACATTAGTTGCGGCTGGTTTATAATTAATTAAATGGCTCTACTATAAGTTGTAATAATCATTTGGATCAGCGCCATCTAGCGGTCAGAATTTTTTTGGCCAAAAATTGCTTCTGAAATTCTGAAGGAGAGCTTTAGGCAGTTTAGCCTTAGAGCCATTTAATCAATTGTAAACCAGCCGCAACTTGTGATATAGTTACAAAATAAAAAGTTAACGTTGTTTTCATTGTTGGCGGCAAGTTTTTAATCTATCTTCTACCTGAATATCGACTTTCTATAAATTTATATTTTTAGAAAAAAGATAAATTGCAAATTTGCCGCAAACAGCACAAACAACGTTAACTTTTTATTATGTAACTATGTAACAAGTTGCGGCTGGTTTATAATTGATTAAATGGCTCTAAGGCTAAACTGCCTAAAGCTCTCCTTCAGAATTTCAGAAGCAATTTTTGGCCAAAAAAATTCCGACCGCTAGATGGCGCTGATCCAAAAAATTATCACTATACTTATAGTAGATCCATTAAACCAATTATAAACCAGCCGCAACTAATGTTATAGATACAAAATAAAAAGTCAATCATGTTTTTGCTGTTTGCGGCAAGCTCACAATTTATCTTTTATCCGAAAATTGATCTCCTAAAGTATAAATATTCTGCTTATCTCATATGGCTTATAAAATCGACCATATTTACAAAATTACAATACTTTTGACCTTTTACTATTAACTGATGGAAGCACAGCCCTTTAACTTTATAGTTCCAATAATCAGTTAACTTATATAATATGTACATAGCAAAATTTGTGTTACAAAAATCTTCAAAATCTCAGTAATAGTATGAAACTTAATTGATATTTTTTAATTCATATCAAAAACATAAGTACATAGCGTTTTGAAACTTTAAGTACATTTTTTTTCATCTGATTGACCTGTAATCTGAACCCTATCTTCTCCATTACGTTATCTAGTGAAGTATTTGCCAATTCAACCACTGTTCGATAATTAAAAGGGTTTAAATAATCAAAACTTACTTTTTTTGGCGTAAATTAAGCTTCATTTCTTGAAGAATCACCATTTTACGAAAAACGTATCAAGAATAATATCCCAAATAGGTACTTTACTGTCAATACTCATGTAGTTTTCAAAAACTTTTGTTTTACACTTCTATATGGTGACCCAGAGGACGTTCTTGTTAAAAATCTTGGTATTTGCTGACAGCCACCATTATGTAACTTTTGTCACTTTTTTTATAAAAATCAGCAGCTATAAATACAAACATTTAAGGTTCACACATTAAAAGAACAAATTAATTGTTTAGATAAGAATTTATTCATAACTAATATTTAAAAATCAACATACATGTAAAACAATTGAAAGCAATTCACCTTACAACTTAGTTGAACGCATTCATATTTAGCAAATACAATATAATTAAAAATTCAATAAGATCTACGCATGATGAGGATCCTATACTTAGATTGCATTACTCGTTACTCTTGATAAAAAACATTACATTATCCACTTCATACATTACACAGGCGCACTTGTTTTCTCTCGTCAAACTTTGTTTAACCAACCGAGGAGGTAATGAGCTCAGTGACGTCGGGATCCGACGAGCGTACGGTGAACTGCATAGTGACCAGTTCAGTAAGCGCGAACTTTGCCCTTGCCAATACTTCTTTGCCGCCACGGAATACTCCGGACAAAAGAAGGGTGTGTTGCGTGGCGCCTGATTTTACGCGATCCGATCGCTCGACAGGCTCGAGTCCCAGTAACATCACCAAACTCTGTATCGCAGCCTCGATACTCGTGATGTTTTCGCCCAGGGCGAAGATCTGCTCGTTCGTGAAGTAATTGCGCGCTTCAGCGGACTCCCACAAGCTCGAAAAGTCGACGTTGCGCGTATTGCTGTTTCGCACTTGGTCTCGCAATGTTATTTCTAAATTTTCCAGCTGAAAAGTTGGTTATTGCAATTATTAACACCACTAAAGTTATTTAATTCACCGACAAAATAATCGAATTAAAGGTACTAACAATGTATTCGTCTTGGTAGCCTTGATCGGTATCTGGGATCCCAGTTGCAGGATCGCAATCGTAAGCCATGAACCGCAACGTCGTGGGGAGCGTAATGATCGTCGACTGAACGTCTTCTGGGAAATTCAATACTGTATAAGTCGAACCTGGCTCGTTGTAAGGCAGATGTGGACACGGTACTTCGCACACGACGTCGTATCTGTTGGATCATGATAAAAAAATAATTAATTAGTGCATAAATTTATGATGGTATGCAAAAATTCGAGAGACACGTACACATCTTGACCGTCCACCGTGACGCAAACGTCCTGCAGTTTTTGATCGTTGAGAGTATTCAAACAATCGAATTGCAAAATAATAAAATCCGAAAAGAAATGTTTGATGCATTTGACGTTGTATTCCGTCTCCGACTCTGTGAGCTCGATCGTCGGTGATGACTTGAACAGGGTCGAGTCGCGAATGATAGCTGCAAGCTGTGGTACCTGGGTAAGCTTTTCCATGTAGCTTTCTTCCCTCGTTAGTCGCGGCTGTGTCGGCCTGACCGTTGCAAGTACTTCTTGTGCCGTTTCTTCAACAACCACGGCTGGTGGAATCTATAATCATAGAACATAGATGCATCAGTTTTACCTTGTAACGCATGTACAAAAATTCAACGATAGGATCTAAAAGAAAAAAGTTACCTGAGATATGTCAAAGTCCTCGTCCATCGGTGAGTGCACGTAATTGCGTAGTGCCCTTTCCAAACTCGGCAGAGACAGCTGAGGGGGCTGCACAAGCGGTAGGATGGAAGGATCCGACTTCTGCTGCAGAATCGTGCAGTAGTAGGTCGCCCGGTCGCGTACCTCGTCATCCGAGTCGAGCTGACATCGAGAAAGCAGCACGAGAATATTGGGCAACAGATCTGGACAAGCCGCGGCAAAGTGAGCCAGCGCGGTAACAGCAGCGGCGCGAACGCAGGGGCTCTCAAGGATCACGCGATTGTAGATGAAACGGATGTAGCGCGAGGGCTGCTTCGAGGTCGGGCCTTCCTGGCCGAGCAGATGGAGGATACGAACAGCCAGGGAGACGTGCTCGCAATCCTCTATGAATTCGCAGAGATGACCGAGCCCGGTCTCTTTGGCATCGGCGTTACTCTCCATCACCACGATTATCGTGTCGACGATCGCGGCCTTGTACTCCAGACCACCCTCGTCACGCAACATTGCTGACAGAAAGTTCATCAGTGTGGCGTGCTTGCGAGGGAATTTCTGGCAAAGGGCTCTGTAAAGTATGAAAAAAGTATTTTGTAGTGAAAGTATGAGAAGAAAAAAAAAAAATTTACCAAGATGCACAAACCTCACAACTAACTTCAAAACAGTATTAAAACGCTCACCTGATAGCTTGCACGACGACGACTTTGAACTCGTCAGAAATTTCCGACACAAACGTTGCGATCTGTTTCATCAGACGATCAACGGAACTTTCAGCCCCAGTTTTCAGCAAAGTAGTAATTGCCAAGGTGGCGATCGATCTATTGGAATCAGTGATCAAATTTTCTAGATCCAAATTACAAGCGGTGACAGCGGCAGGGTGAGACATGGCGACCTTGTTGAGGGTGCGAACAGCAGCGAATCTAAGAGCTGGCTTGGGAGAGCTACAAAACAGCTGTAGCACACTGATGGCAGACGCAATTTCTCTGGTGCCACTCTTGCCAAGATTCACAAGAGCATGAGCAGCTTCATAAACAACCATCTCCGACTTGTGGCGAATGCAGCACTCGATGAACTCCAAAAATTCGGATTTCTCATCAACTTCCTCGATCAGTTTACAGGCCATCCTTATCAGCAAACAACAAGCATACGGACTCTTAGGGCTGGACCTCATGAGCTTTTTCACCAGCTTGATGACAGCGTGCTTATCCGACTTTCTCGCTTGATACAACAGACCCAGGGCGTGGTACTGTACCATAACATTGTCGGAATTGAGAGCCTCCTGTGCCTCATTGGCCCACCTCTTGGCAACGTCACTGGACACACTGGTAAGATGCACGGATGACACAAGAGCAGCACTAGACACAGCAGGCGAACGATCCACAATGGCCTGTTTCATGTATCTCTCTATGGTAGCCAGCATAGCTGCATCGGTGATGGTGCAGAGAGCTCGAATGGCAGCAGCTCTGTACTGGTCCTCCTTGCCAGTCATGTCTTTGGTGAGACTCGAGTTGACCATGATGACGTGCTCGGCAATAGAGCTCAGCTCCTTTATGCCTAGGTAGACGAGGCGGCGCAGCACTGCATCCTTTGACTGGAACAGCTTGGTCATGGCGAAAAAGGCCTCCGTAGCCTCGGTCGTACCTAGCTGTTCGCCCTGGTTCAGCAGGTAGAGAATCTTTGTCAGGATATGGGCGCATTTTCGCGGATTGACGGGAGTATCGTTGAACGTGCGGGCTTCCTGCAGGACAGTTGTCTTCTCTAAATTCAGAAATGGATTGCCTCCTGGGGGAAAAATTAATTATAAAATAAACAACAGGACTAGTGTTATTCACTGAACAATTGTGGTTGTGAGCCAATTCGATGAGACTTGTTGTTGAGTATGTGCAACTGCACGTCAACAAAAAACATCAAACAAGCAATGACAACAATAACCTAGCATCGGTACTAATCTTTGGTAAATTGCACGTAACTTTGGATTTTTTCGTTTGTTAAAGAAACCTACGTACCGTCTTCATCTTCCTTTTTGTCGCGCTTAAACGCGTTCATTTTAGCACAATTACGGTAAAATTTTGATAAATAATCCGTTTCTTTACAGACACGTCAGCTCACCACAGCCGAAACCAGCTGGAGTAAGTTCTCTGTCGCGGCGACCATTGAATTCCCCAACACAGACTCCTTTGCCAAAGCTTTCTGCTAATTCTACTCTCTCTCTCTCTCTCTCTCTAATCTTCCGCTACCGCGGCCCACGGCTCTATTCTTTTTGCATCAACGCCATCTAGCGTGGCTGATTTTGAACTAAAAAGTACCCTGGTCCCCTGGACTACCCCGGATCCGGAGCCACCCCGGAGTCCAGAGTCATCATCTCTCTCCGCTCTCCCACTCCCACCCGCACACATGAGAGATTTTGCACTGTGCACTTGCGCAGTGCGCGTGAGCCGAAAACGAATTAAACGAGCGGCCGGACCGGACGACCGGACAGAAAATCTGTTATAACCTCATTCACAGCTTCTCAGAGAGTTCACAAATGCAGTGTAGGGTTAATACAGCTACTCATACGTGCAGGTAAATTATTCTTCACGATTCTCAGAGAACTTTTATATAACCTCATTTTATATGTACATACTGAATGCATACTCAACTACTTGGGTACCCAAAGTCACGAATTCTTAAATTTTTAAACTTGAAGTGAGCCAAAACGCCTCTATCATTTGCTTTGTTTTTCTTTTTGTTTTCTACTTTTCGTTAACATTTGTCTTTTGGAACTTGGCATGAAGCAACAGCACACGCGATGTATGTACACTTACACTTGCTTCTTAGAATTTTCTTGTTTTCGTTTTTTTCCAGATAAATACGTACAAGCATATTGTCGAGTTTAGTCATTGTCTTGCCAAGCAACTGCATCGACACTAAACCCAAGGTTTAAGTGCAGTCTGTCTATCTTAAGGACAATAAACGTTTAATAAGATGAAAAACGCTGGAATTGGTAATTACTTTGCTTGTCCCAAGTGCCCCACGAGGCACGATGCTAAAGGCTTAACCGCCCACGAGTACAATCTACATTTCGCCAACCATCTCAACTACACGGTCCAGCAACATCAGAGGGATCCTCGCTCGGGACAATCAGCACCGCCAGATCAGCAACAATCACAGCAGGCCATTCGGCTACAACGGCCCGTGGAATCCGTACAGCTTCCAGAGATCACACCACCACCCCTCCCTATGCCCGCAAAGGTCATTGGAAAAGATCCATTTGGATGTCCTCGCATCTTAGGTACGTCTGACCGAAGTGCTGGAATTGAATTCACACCTCGGTAGATGCCTTTTTTTTATTTTTCCAATTTATTTTCTTTAAATACATCATTGATTTTGACAAGAGTAAAACTTTCTTTTTTTTATGTAAATATTGATGTTAAGTTTTGTTAATGAGCACTTACACAAGTTTGCAACATTATCATTATTCTTTAATCGTGTATCATAGCACACGAGAGTCACAAGAATGTGTAAGCTAAAGTATCATGAAAATACATTTTCAGTTGAGTAGCATTTGACATACAGTTAATATATTAACATAGGTTGTTTTTAAAAGCAGTTTTTTAAAATGATTTAAAGATGTTTTCTTTGAACCCATATGTCATAATGAAAAAAAGTTTATTCAGTTATAACATAATGAAAATAACCAATAAAGCCAGTATCACTGTAGAACTCATTGAATCGATCAAATAAAGAAATTGTAAATCATTGCAAGTATACATCTTCCATTCATTAGTCTTGAAAATCAGCCTCATTTCTCTTTTAGCCTTTTTTTTTGGTTTCCAAACTATCATAGTTGTACTTATGATTTAAAAAAATGACATAAAAACCAGAAAAAAAAGTACGACTTAAATTGCGCATATCTTTCAACTACTTCCTTATCAAGCGTTGATAATATTGTTATCTATCTCTTGCGGGGATGATTTAATTGGTATAATCACTATGAGGAAAATTTGAAGTTTTTCTTCCTCTCGAATGTAACGATTGTTACAAACGCACTCCCAAGACCGTGAGTTACGTGCACCGAGTAAAAAATTAAACGTTTCCCCAATGCGTTCGTCACCCGTTTAATGTCATGATCACGTCTCGTGTATACTCACTGAGCGCGCGAGTCAGCAGTTAATAAAAAAACAGCTTTTTGTTTGTAAGTCATTCGAAGCTCCTTTTAAACAACTTAATCCAAATCCTAGATACATGCACACATATTTACTTTAACTTGTTTGGTTTCTTTTTGTAAATATACAGATACGGCCGCGATAGCTGGATAATCACGAGCTATTTTTTTATCGATCGGTCGTTTAATTTTTATTCACACGAATGTTTTTATGTGACATATGTAGACAGTGGTTTATGTGTATTCGATTGACGGGATGTTGTTCAAATTAGAGAACAAGAAAAAATAAATAAGTACACGGGTATTCGTGGGCCATATATATTATAAACTGATTTACAAAACAATTATAGGATGGTATGCGCGCACTTGTAAGTATATACATCAATGTCCCTGCACGTGGGAAATCCTTTCTGCGAAGTGCATCTCGTGAATTTCCCAAATTCTTGCGACGTTGCGCGGATTCCACGCATCTACATATAATACTTTTGCACTTGAGTTTTTACAAACTCCGGTTGCTTACTGCAAAACATGAGCTGACAGCTGCACAACAAATACACACTTGGATTATTATACCTATATTGATTAATACAACCGAATCGATCGGCTCATCATACATGCAGATCGGTGTAAGTTTTTCCGTTAAAAAGATTTGGGAATCCGAAACTTAAAAGATGCATGTGCCTGCGTAGTTCCACCTCACTTCGTGTGTATACACGCACCCCCTCCAGCTGTACGCAGCCGGTTTGAGAACCAATATTGGGGGATGCATGCAACAACGTATTACCTGATGTAGCAATAAAACATCAGTAGATACAGCCAAGACTCATCAGACATGATTTCCTCCTAAATTCTTCTTCTTTTTCCTACATGTACTAGGTGTCCTGCAGAGAGATTCTACTTGTTGTTTTCGACAAGTGCCACTTATAGATATTGTGTATTTTCGACCCACGCGTATGCCGCACATCATATTGTATCGCAAACGGGAGAACAGCATCAGGAGACAACACGAAACACCATCATCAGCTGGAGGCTGCGGAACAGCAGGTTGTCTCTGCCGTGTCGCTCTTTTCCACTTTTATTTGAAACGCATGTATATTGTATTCAGATATAATTTTACTCCTTCAGTATATATCCTATACGCTATACGTATAGCAAAATAGGGAGTGAGCGCGAAGCAGAATCGAATTGGAGTCGCCGCGAACGAGGAAGAAAGAAAAAGACAAGACGACCAGCAGCATGGCATACATACGTGGGAAAATACACAAAAAATACCCCGATTTTGTCCCCCATGTTAATAAAAAGAATGTTATTAGGAGACGCGTCCTTGAAACCAGGTTCATTTTACTCGTAATGTAGTGAGAAAACAATTTTGGACACTATGGTTTCAGTGAGGGTGACGCAGATGATGTGTATAGATACAATTTTAACACGTAAATCGCAGAACAAGGGTGTCACCCTCACTAAAAGCCCGTGATCAAAATTCATTCTCACAGTAAAAGACATTAAGAGTAAAATGAGCCCGGTTTCAAGGGTGTAATTCACAAAAAAAAATGTTTTATTGAAAAACGTGATGTTTTTTTTTGTAGATTTCCTCATACACACGTAGAAAGCAGAGAGGTTGGGTACAGAATGGAAATGCATGGATGGAACGGAGGAGAGAGAAACGGAGCAGCACAACCTGAATAACCTCCCCTAGCGATTTATATGTATGTATGTATGTATATACGTAATACGCGCGGCGCGTCAGACTAGACGTATATCCACGTACACTGGTACACACTGGCGGAGGAGAAGTCAGTAGTGTTCTCGCCGTTGTGTCGAGCGCGACCGCACAGATCGACTCCGTCGAACAAGCGCTTGTCACTTTTATCCCCGGTTGCACGGAACAATCACAAATAATTGTACACCATTGGGTATAAATGTTATTTCCCAAAGTCGACGAACAATGTCCCGCTGTATGGTTTAATTCGCGTGCTCCGATTTTTTATTCGTCGCACGATGCACGTGCCGCTTCCGCGTCAACGCTAACAAGGGTGGACACACGCATCCTCCCACCCCCGAATGTCGTCGTCGCCGCCGCACGTGCTTCGTTGCATGTTTCGTTGCGCGTAAACAAATACATGTAAACATACACTTGACAGACAAACAAAAAAAATAAGCCAAAGGAGGGTGGGAAAATCGTACGACGACGTTGAGTGTATAAAAAAAAAAAAAAGAAAAAAAAAAGAAAAAAAAAAAGTCCAGTGCATCTCACGGGCAAGTTTATAGTACATCCCGGCAAGTGCAGCTGGCGGGGTTGTGCGCGAGGTGTCTGCACCACACCACCAGCAGTAGCAGCTGCACCAGTATATTATAAATACATGTGGACACCCAGCAGCGAGGAGGGAGAGAGAGAGTGAGATAAAAGTGTGCGTGTCCGCGTATGTACATATATATATATTTGTGTAGGCGCATTCTTCCGAGTCCAAAGGATGCTGGAGCTGCCGATGCCGTGGCTCAAGTGCTGCTGGAGGGGCACTCGCCGGGGAAGCTGTGCATCACCAGGTTACAGCGGTAGCAGCTCGGTCGTATCGACGAGGACGAAGAGGAGCAGTAGTTAACGGGACAACGGTGCCGCTCTTCTCTTTCTCTCTCTCTCTCTCTTTCTCTGGCATCTTCCTCCTCCTCCTCTTCTTTCGCAAAGAGGAATCTGCCGCTGCTCCTGCTACTGACCTTGTGTGCGTGTATAGATATACCCACGAGCGTGCGCGCGTCAATTTTCGGGGAAAGAAGAATATATATATACATTATAACACATTGCAGAGAGAGGATGTTACTCTGGCACTGAATTTCGGTCCCTCCTTTTATTTGTTTTTTTCTTTCTTCCTTCCCATTTTCGATATTTTGCCGGCCTTGGACGCGGGTTGGATGACTCTCGCGGTGCTACGTGTTTAATGTAACACACACCCACGACATAGTCGGAAGGAAAGAGAGAGAGAGTACATCGGCGATCAAAGAGAGAAAGGAGCCGGATGAAGAAGCTGCTCGCCGAGCTGTATCTATAATACACACAGCAGCAGCTCGCTCCTCTGCTGTCCACGAGCTGATGCTGCTGTTGCTGCAACAGATCGATCCGAATCCGAGGTAGGTATGTATGTATATTGTACGATTCGCGCTCTCTTTCTCCTCCTCTCCGAAGTTTGCTCTGGTGCATGTACTTTGAAAGGTTCGCGTGGTTTTCAATCTTGGTTGTTCGCTCCGATTCGGTGGCTCCCTGGCAGGACTCACTTTTTTGTTTTTCCTAATCCATCGACAGGTGTGCATAATATAGATACTATGGGTCAGAATAAATTGTATTTTTATTTTTAAAAGAGTAAAGATCAATTCGCACGGTGTTGTTTGTGAGGGGGTGGAAAAAGAAAAACAGGAGCCTGTCACACGCTCGTTTAATGATTCAGCAAAGCTAAACATGTGGTACGGTCTGTTACCCGCCCGGTATGATATGAGGAAAAATGTGCACGGGGATATACGTATGTGCATTATATGGTTGGCTGGCTGGTCGGTGCTCTATTCACCTTGAGGGAGAGAGGGAGTCGCGCTCCAAATGTGGGATGAAAATGTGTGCGCTATATGTATATGTGCGTGCCCGCTGTAAAAAGGTGCTGTATAATATATATATATATTGTAGGCTCGCTCTGCCGTGAAATTTTTGCAAAAACTGCTCCGCCCGAGTGTGTATTGTGAAGAGTGCAAAGCACGTCTGCCCCGAAAAGTTAACGAGTCGCCTGCATGCGTTCTACTTTTTTCTTTTTTTTTTCAATGCGCACATACAAGTGTTACCTTCTTTGACTCCGAGCTGGCACAGATTTTTCAATTGATCAACGAAAATGATGCAAATGCGCGGTGTACCTTGATGTTAGCCAAGTTTTTCGCCAACGCGGTGTGTGCAAATATATACCAGAGTAGTTGACGAAGGAGAACATTCTGGTGCTATGCAGAAAAAGAGCGATTTGAAACGCATATTGTTTTCTCCCTTCTTTCGGATAACGCGATTGTTTTTATTTTTGCGCGTTTCAACGGTGAATCAGCCAACAGCCTACACTGCGATTGCGTTTCAACAATAAAGACTGTCGTATTATATAGTAAAAGCGCGCGAGGTCAAAGTTTATTCACACACAGTTTATCCCGATTTGGTGCAAGAGAAAAATTTATCGCATTTGAGTACGTGAGCTGATGCCTTTTTGGGGTAGGTTAGTCGAAACGTTTTTACACTTGCGTGTTTCATCCAATACACTATTCCGTGAGTTTTTGTTTCGTTAGAGTCGAGAAAACAATTTTTTTTTCAATGTATAGCATCCACAAAATAATTCTACACGCACAAAAAGATATCTTAGAAACTGCATGTGCGATTTTAAAGTGACAGTTTACTGAAGTCATCCCACAACTTTTGTCAAAAAAAAATTGGGAGGGGAGGTCACACGAAAGTGGAAATTTGTCGCGCGAAATGTACGTCCACGTGTTTTTAAACACGAAAAAAAAACGGAACTTTCTCACGGAATTCATACACCTACTTATATGTATATACTTACGCACATGAGTCCTCGCGCGCGTCTCGTTAATATTCCGTCCTCGAAAATCGTTTCAAGATCTCGCGGCGATTCTCTCTTTGCTTTCGAACCTTTACGCGCGTTGATTACATCTCGAACGTACATAGCAATTGGCTTTTTGTGGTGTTATTATTATTATTATTATTATTGTTGTTGCCACGTCAAAACTTTTGACGGACACCTGCTTTGGCGCATCTGCAAAACGTGCTTGGAAATTTCGATACCTTTATCTTCAACTGATGAACAAAAATCACGAGTTGCGCAACTTTCACTCGACTATTTTGCGTCTCGTTGAAACAGTTGATCATCCGATTCGTGTAGAGGAATTTAACATGTAACAACCACACCACTGTCCCAAAAACGTATACGTTACTTATTCCCGGGCGTGTACAAAGAGCCAAAGAAATTTCTCAGTGTATTTAGTTGAAAAGAAAAAAAATACATCTCCGTGCGACCCTTCAAAAGGCACCTCTTTTTTTCCCCTCCTCTCAAAAGAAGAAGCTTGGTTTCTCTCTCCGCTGCCGTGTAGTGTGATCAAGTGCGCCTCCTCCCTCCCTCAAAGATTACTCTAGAGATAAAAAAGCCCTCGAGAGCGCCTTTTCTATTTAGTCACGCAAACTCACAGAGCATCTACGGCACAGCGGAGCAATTATGCAAAAAAAAAAAAAAAAATCTCTTTTATTATTATTTCCCAGTCGCAAATATTAAATGTTTTATTATCGTAGCCCCGCGAGAGTCGATGCGGGACCATCAATGTGTATTATGATAGGGATATAAATTTGTTACGCTCCAACACGTGTGTACGGAAATTACGAAAGATTTTCAACGCACGAGCGATAAATTTCACCGAATAGTAATACAAAAAACAATCAAAATTGATCACCGTAACACAGGCTTTTATCTATGCGCCTACTAAAATTAATGACAATGGTCGTTCGGCTATATTCGGACGAAACAACAAACATAGCTGGTATGAACTGTATACGTGTATACCCGAAGTGTCGATCAGTATATATAACATACAAGCCGATGATGCTGCTTGACGTGGATGCAGCCAATTAGGGAAATACGAAACGGGATAACATTAGCGATCCATTTTCTATTATTAAACGTCCGATCCTCGTTTAATACAATCCGACGAAACAAACGTACATACAGTCACTCTGACAAACACGTTATTAGCTTTGTTTTTTTTTTTTTTTTTTTTTTGTTGCGGATGTGGGGAAAAAAAAACAACTTTATGCCTCGAACACGATATAAATTGTATTGTTGCATCACGAGCCAAGCGGGTGTTCCATTCAAGTTTCGCGCGGATTCCCTTATCGGTTTTTATCGTTTCACTGGTGGTCAATTCCAACTGGCCGTTACGTGTACGTTCGGCCGTACCCGACCTCGTATGAACCACGAAACCGGGAAAAGCCCGCCCCGGAAGGACCCGGTGTATTATCTCTCGACGTTCGCGTCACTCGGGGAAGAGATACCGAAGCCCTGATACGCGAGTGTATTGGGGAGAAGAAAGGGTCGTCGCTCGTCGAAAGCTGCTTTTTTTCTTCTTCATATATTTGACAAACTAAAGTGCGGTCAGTTGCCTCTAATTTTTTACGGTCTCGAATTGACAGTACCTACAAATAGTGATGAAATATTACAAATAAAATTTTGTTTAGAAGCCACTGACAATGTAAAAAAAAAAAAAAAAATACCGATTACAAGTTCACTCGGGGGGCCTCTTCGCTAAATGCACGCCAGCCAAGCGACTGTAAGGTTCTGCTGCCGACAGCTTGTGTCCTTTCACGCGTTCCATCCATAAATTTTCACGAAATGACGTTCAAAAGACGTTCTAGTTAAAATTATGATGCGTTAAACTTGGCGCAGAACTTGTATAATGGCATACTTACGTATTCTTAAACTCGCCTACATATACCGTGTGCCGAGCACTTCAACTTTCTTTTTTGCTAAAACGAAAAGTTTTTACGGCACACAAGACAACTAGATGTCCAAATGTATTTTATACATAATGACACATTTTTTGATCTAAAAGAAAAAAACACAATGTTGTACACAGCAAGACACGTTGCAGTTACTATCATTGTCATTTTTCTTGCAGAAAATAAAGTAATCACGATGAAGAAACGGCTAACGATATTTTATCGCTAATAATCGCGCTGGGAAATCGTGAACAGCTGTCTCCTTGAATCTTTTTTTTTTTTTTTTTTTTCTCCATTGTTTTCCATTCAACTTCTCATCGCAAGTACACACATCAAGAGACATTTTTTCTTCTTCTTTGTGATTCTTTTCATTAAACCTTAGTAATCGGCTCTCCGCGACCAAGATAATACTAATTTTCATACGCTCGATTAACGCTCCTCGTCCGAATAAAATATTTAAAAAACCCTAAGCACCGTCAGCCGTGCTTGGGATATCGCACACTCATACCCGCACTAAAGGCTTATCCGCATGACACCTAACTATACGTCATGTGAATGCAATAATTAATACACACACGTTCTCATTTTTAATCTCATTTTTTTCTCCCGTATTTGAAATACACACGTATTATTGTTCTTTTACGGTTGACGGCTCAGTCGTTCAAGCAATAAACAGTTTGTTCAAAAATTAATTGGTAAAAATCTTCATTTTTTTTTTTTTGGTTGTCTTTAAAAAGCTTGAACGATTTTTAAAAAAACGGTGCTGCTGCTGAGCAAGAAAAATGAAAAAATCACGGGACAAACGAAACGTATATAAGTACATGGTAAGCGCATCCTGACCCTGTACAGGAGAAATATGTATTTTTACAACCCACCTACCCTAATACATTACAGGCACTCCCGCTCACTCTCTCTCTCTCTCTCTCTCTCTCACACGACCACACACGTATGTACTACGGTCTCGTCGGCCAAAAGCTTTCCCTTCGTCGTTGTCGTGCATTAGTCATCTTTGCATGTGTATTGTACGGTAAGATTACGAGAGATTCCATATGTTCCGGAATTCATGCCCTCTCTCTTTTTTTTTGTCTCCCTCGCGACGTTATTTGCGTTCCAGTCGCACCAAAGATAACCACGAGGATTTTTTGTTTCACGTACCGTATCATCTGCACAAAAAAAACAATTGGATACCTCCAAAACTTAGTCATTGGGCGACGACAAGTTTCGTTAAGTTTTTTCTCTTGTAAATTTATAATCAATCGAATAAAATCCTGTTGAAAATACGTAGAGACCAAGAAAAACAAAAAGCGTCGGAGAAATTAGTTCATGTTAGCCAATCCCGCACCAAGTTGGCTCTAATTGCCAACCAAGTGAGTTTATATGGGAGCTCTCGCGGGAGGAAAAGAGAAGGCATGTCTGAGCTTTCTAAGCCAATGTATGGGGCGTACGATGTGCATATATATATATATATATACATGTATATGTTTTACATCCACATAGTCTAGACGGTATACCATCCACATGACAGACGATGGCGAGACGCGATGCGCGCTGTGTAGGTACGGTTCTACTGCATACATGCATGGCTTCACACCGCCTCTCTATCTCCCTTTTTTTTG